GGTGCATAAATATTTAGGATATTTAGCTCTTCTTTTTGTATTAATACATTTACCATTATGTAATGTCATTCTTTTTCTATTTTGATCTTTGTTGGTTTAAAGTTCATTTTATCAGAGACTAGAATTGCAACCCCTGCTTTTTTGTTCTCTATTTGCTTGCTAAATATTCCCCCAACCCTTTATCTATACCTTTGTATGTGAGATGGGTCTCCTGAATACAGCACACCAATGAGTCTTAACTTCTTATCCAATTTGTCAGTCTGTGTCTTTTGATTTGGGTATTTGGCCCCTTTACGTTTAAGGTTAATATTGTGCCGTGTGAATTTAGTTCGTTGATGCAGTTTCTTCATTGCATCGTTGGTGTTTACCATTTGTTACATTTTTGCAGTGGCTTGTACTTGCTGTTCCTTTCCCTGTTTAGTGCTTCCTTCAGGAGCTGTTGTAGGGTAGGCTAGGTGGTGGCAAAAACTTTCAGCAGTTGCTTGTGTATAAAGACTTTTATTTCTCCTACACTTATGAAGCTTAGTATGGCTGGATATGAAATTCTGGGATGAAAATTCTTTTATTTTAGGGTGTTGAATACTGGCACCCACTCTCTTCTGGCTTATAGGGTTTTGGCCAAGAGATTTGCAGGGAGACTGATGGGCTTCCTTTGATGGGTAATGCAACCTTTCTCTCTGGCTGCCCTCAGGATGTTTTTCTTCATTTCAACCCTGGTGAATCTGATGATACTGTGCCTTGTGGTTGCTCTTCTCAAGGAATACCTTTGTGGTGTTCTCTGTATTTCCTGTATTTGAATGTTGGACTGCCTTGCTAGGTTGGGAATGTTATCCTGGATAATATCCTGAAGAATGTTTTCCAACTTGGTTTCATTCTCCCTGTCATGTTTGGGTACACTGATCAAACAGATTTTGTCTTTTCATACAATCCCATATTTCTTGGAGGCTTTGTTCCTTTAACTCTTTTTCTCTAATTTTGCCTTCTCATTTTATTTCATTGAGTTGATCTTCAATCTCCGATATTCTTTCTCTGGCAGGATTAATTCAGTTATGGAAACTTGTGTATGCTTCATGAAGTTCTTGCACTGTATATTTCTGCTCCACCAAATTGTTTATGTTTTCTTCCATGCTGGTTATTCTCATTAGCATTTTGTCTAACCTTTTTTTCAAGGTTCTTCATTTCCTTGCATTGGATTAGAAAATGCTCCTTTAGCTCAGAGAAGTTTGTTATTACCTACTTCTGAAGACTGCTTCTGTCAATTCGTCACCCTCATTCTCCTTCCAGTTTTGGTCCCTTGCTAATAAGTGTTGTGATCCCTTGGAGGAAAAGAGGCTTCCTGGCTTCTGGTAATTTTAGCCTTTTTGTGCTAGTTTCTTTCCATCTTTACCTACCTTTAGTCTTTGAAATTGGTGACTTTTGAATGGGGTTTCTGAGTGAATGTCCTCTTTGTTGATGTTGAAGCTGTTTATTTCTCTGTGTTAGTTTTCCTTCTAATAGTCAGGCCCCTCTGTTGCAGGTTTGCTGGAGTTTGCTGGAGGTCCACTCCTACCCTTCTTGCCTGGGAATCACCCACAGGTGCCACAAAACAGCAAAGATTGCTGCCTATTCTTTCTTTTTGTAGCTTCATCCTAAAAGGGCACCTGCCATTTTCCAGCCAGAGCTCTCTTGTATGACGTGTCTCCCAATTAGGATACAGAGAGGTTCCCAGAGCCACTTGAGGAGGCAGTCTATCCCTTAATGAAGCTCAAGCACTGTACTAAGGGATCTGTCACTCCCTTCAGGGATGCTGGACTGGGACATTTACATTTGCTGAAGGGAAACCCATGACCGCCCTTTTCTCAGGTGGTTTCTCCAGGACAGTGGGGGCTTTGTAAGACCCTGAAGGGCTGCAGTCTTTTTATTTCTGAGATACCCTGCCCCGCAAGAAGGGAATCTACTTGACAGTCTGCTGCAGAGGCCTTGCTGAGCTGCCCTGGTTGGTTCCATGCAGCCACTGTATAAACTTCCTAGCGACTTTATTTATACAGGTGATGTTGAAAACACCTACCAGAGAATCAGCAATGGCAGGCGCCCCTCTCCCCACCAAGCTCTAACATCCCAGGTCGAGCTCGAACTGCTCTGCTGAATGTCAGCATTTCAAGCCAGCAGATGTTAGCTTGCCAGTCTTTGTGGGGGTGGGGCCCACCAAGCCAGCTCACTTGGCTCTCTGGCTTCAGCCTTTTTCAAGGAGAGTGAGCAGTTCTGTCTCACCAATGTCCCAGGTGTCAGTCGATTAAAATAGCCACCCAGTTTTGTGCTGGAAACCCAGGTCACTGGCACTGTAGGTGCCAGAGGGAATCTCCTGGTCTGCGGGTTGTGTAGCCTGTGGGAAAAGCACAATATCTGAGCTGGAGTGCCAGAGTGTCCAGAAAAATCCCCAGTGGCTTTCCTTGGCTGGGAGAGACAGTTCTCTAGCCCCATGTGCCTCCCAACTAGGCTGTGCCCCACCCTGCTTCAGCTTGCCCAACTTGGGCTGTTTCCACTGTCTAACCAGTCCCAATGACTGATTTCTCAGTTGGAAATGTGGAGATCACTTGTCTTCTGGTGCTGTCAACTGCAGACTGAGGCGGTTGCTATTTTGCCATCTTTACTTTTTTTTTTTTTTTGGAGATGTAGTTTTGCTCTTGTTACCCAGGTGGGAATGCAGTGATGCAATCTCAGCTCATTGCAACATCTGCAGTCTGGGTTCAATTGATTCTCCTGCTTCAACCTCCCAAGTAGCTGGGACTATAGGTGTGTGCTGACCAAACCTGACTGATTTTTGTATTTTTAGTAGAGACAGTGTTTTACTGTGTTGGCCAGGCTAATCTTGAACTCCTGACCTCAAGTGATATGCCCGCCATGGCCACCAAGTGTGCTGGGATTACAGACCTGAGACAGCATGACTGGTGTTTTCAGCAATTTTGACATGTACATTTACTAGCTGTGATAATTATTCTGTGCAACAGATTACCAGAACTTCTTCCTGTCTCATTGAAATGTTTTACCCTTCGATGAACATCTTCACTTTCCCTATCCACTACCATCACCACTCCATACTCCAATCTCTGACTACCTTTTGTGTGTTTGTTTAAAGAATCAGGGTCTTGCTGTGTTTCACAGGTTGGAGTGCAGGGGCACAGCTATGGCTCACTGCGGCCACAAACTTGTGATGTGAGGTGTTCATCCTCTGAAAGTGCTGGAGTTACAGGCAGGAACCACCATACCTGGCATATGAGTTCAACTTTTTTAGATTTCACATATAATTGTGATCATGCTATATTTGTCTTTCTATGCCTGTCTTATTTCACTGAGCATATGTCTTCAAATTCCATTTTTTGTCACAATAACAGCTGTATAGTATAGTCCACTGTGTATATGTGTCACACAATCTGTTAATCTGTTGATAAGCACTTGGGTTGTTTTCCTAACATGGCTATTGTGAATAATGGTAACATAAATATAGGAATGCAAATATCTCTGATATACTAATTTTCTGTCCTCTGAGTACATATTCAGCAGTAGCTGAATCATCTGGTAATTCTATTTTTGATTTTATTTTATTTTTGAAACATCTATTCTATGACACCAAAAGGAAAAGCACAGGCTACAAAAGCACAACAAAACAACAATTGGATTGCACCACATCAAACTAAAAAGTTTCTGCACAGCAAAGGAAACAATAACCAGAGTGAGGAGAGAACCCACACACTTGGAGAAAATACCTGCAGCTCATGTATATGATAAAGGAGAATAATAAATGCATACAAGCAACTCAAGCCACTTAACAAAAATCAAAGAAGCCTATTAAAATTGTCAAAGAATCTGAATTTACATTTCTCAGAAGAAGGCAGTCAAATGGCCAACAACTCTATATTTTCTTTCTTTCTTTATTTTGAGATGGAGTCTCACTTTGTCGTCCAGGCTGGAATGCAGTGGTGCTATGTCAGCTCACATAAACCTCCATCCCTTGGATTAAGCAATTCTCATGCCTCAACCTCCCTAGTAGCTGGAATTACAGGTGTGCACTACTATCCCCAACTAATTTTTGAACAACTGAATGCTTACCACCACCAATCATCAAGAAAATGTAAATTAAAACCTATAATGAGCCCTCCTCTCACAAATGTTAGAATGTTAGAATTAACATAAGGATGAAAGATGAAAGTGTTCTTGAGAATGTAGAGCAAAGAGAATCCTTATGCACTGTTGTCAGAAATGTAAACTAGTATTTTAAATTATTAACATGATCATTTCTTTTTAATTCAACTTTTTTTTTTACTTTCAGATGTATTAATATAAGTTGTTTTCTGTCAGTCAAAGCTCAATGAGAATGACCTTAGTTACCTTAAATTAATATAAACAGCAGCATTTTCATAAGCTCAAAATGTATACACTAGATTCCAAACATTTGTTAAATTAATGGCACTGGTTCCAAAAATGTACTAGGTAAAAAATGCATTATGGTTATTTTTCCTGCTTAGCTTTTGGACTCAGATGAACTTTTGATTTTGTTTTATTTAATGAATTGTATAATTATACTTTTTTTAAAAAATTAGGCTGGTTGCCGTGGCTCAGACCTGTAATCCCAGCATGTTGGGAGGCTGAGGCGGGTGGATCATGAGGTCAGGAGTTTGACACAGCCTGGCCAAGATGGTGAAACCCTGCCTCTAGTAAAAAAAGAAAAAGAAAAAAAAAATTGCCGTGTGTATTGGCAGGTGACATAGTCTCATCTACTTGGGAGTCTGGGGCAAGAGAATCACTTGAATCTGGGAGGTGAAGGTTGCAGTGATCTGAGATCATGCCGCTATATTCAATACTGGGTGACAGGATAAGAATATGTTACAAAAAGAAAAGAAAGAATGGGAGAAAGCGGGGGAGGGAGGAAGGAAGAAGGAAGGAAGGAAGGAAGGAAGGAAACAAAAATTACTAATACATAGTTACAGGAAAAAAATCAATTTTATTGAAAATTACTCCCAAGATCTTGCTCTTTATAATTTTTTTAATGAAAGAGTATCTTTAAAAAGTCACATTCAGCATCTTTACTACATTGTTCTGTGAAAGTACGTATGTATATTTTGTGAATATTTCATATTTTATTGAATGAAAATTACTCATCTATTCCAAGAATGATAATATTTCCTTAGCTGCTTATTTTTATTCTTTTAATTTTCTTTAGATGTTTACATAATACCACAGTGACTCTGGCTAATTTTTAGTATGTCTTTACAATATTTTGTCTGACTTCCTTGGGTACAAATAGTGATAGAAGAGACACATAAAGGAAAAGCCTAATAAGTAGATTATGAGGACGTGTATGGCAACTAATGTGTAACAACAATTCAGTAAAGTTTCCCCTCTATAGAATATAAATGCGATTATCATCATCACATTTTCTAAAAACTGAAAGCTGTAGTGTAGAATTCTATGGCCCCACCTCTCTCTCCTGTCAAATATTTTCTCATTTGACAACTGCAGTTTCACTGCTGCCCAGCAGGAGAAATTGATGGCAGCATACAGTAGTGTGATGACGATAAGCATCAGTACTGTACCCACCACACTGGAATCTTCTGTACTGCTAGGAAGATGAGCTCCATTTTTCCAGAACTCCAGCCATGGTGCCAACACTGATACAAAATATATGACCAAGAGAAAGGGTAGGCTCTTCAGTTTCAGAGATGCAGCAAATAATGCCAGAGCCACTGCACGTGAGATAATTTCTAAGAAACGCCATATTATCACATAGAAGAGTTCCATTGGCGGTAGCTTAATGGTAGTATCATCGTTGCTGATTTGGATGGCTAGTGTACTGCAGAGAATTGCCCCATAAGCAGCTGATAAGAGGCAACATGTCATCAGCAAGGCTATTAAAGATAAACATAACAATGTTAGAAAATATTTTTTGTTAGTAATGTTCACTTTCTCTTCTAACCTTGTGGTTTTAAGATTTATCCCCACTCAACTCCTTTAGAAAATCATTTACTTACAAAATAATAATAATAATAAAAGCTTTGTTAAGCTTTTATTACCAGGAATATTTAAGTATGCAATACATACATACACCTGGGAAAAACAAATAACACAAATACATGCATACCTACATTTCTACAGGTATATACACATTCCCTCAAAGGGAAGACTGGCAAAGATGAAATATGAGAGAGACATTCAGATCTGATGCTATAAGATGTTATAGCACATAGAAAGCAGTCTCAAGTAAAAAATAATAAAATTACCTGAATTAGACATTGAAAAGTTAGTCTTTATAGAAAGTTAAGAGTGTAAAATAGGAAGTTAGAGTGTAAAGTAGTGGCCAATGTAACATAAACTGTGTTTTACACTATGGTGATAATAGGAAATAAGAAATAAGCTGTGGAGTTAAAGTAAATCCTGGAAGTGAAGCTGACAGATTTTGCTGAGTGATGGAATAGAAAATACTAGAGAAACAGAAAATCTGAAAGTTCCAGAAATTAATAAGTGAGTGTGTGCATATGTGTGTTTGTGTCTATTAATGTAATTTTATCAGAAAATTCTTCATGAGCAAAATTAATTAATTTCAACATTGTTCTTTTAATAATTAGACAAATAAGCACATGGAAGAAAGCCTAAGTTATGAAGTAGTTGCATAGTGTGTTTAAACAATTTTGTACTGTATTCAGTTGAAAGAGTAAAAACTCATTGCACATACACATTCAGGCTAAAAAAAAAATCCACTCTTCATACACAATGAAATGAAGCCAGAAAACAAAAAGTGGTCAAGTTGTCATTTTTCATCCAAATTACTTTTTCATTTTCTAAGACTATTTAGAAAATGAGCATCAACACTCCATTTATTCCTTAAGGAAAACTCAAAGTGAAACTCTGAATCATTAGCATCCTAAATTTCATTTATGAGAAATATGACTGAATAAAAATAAGTAACCTAAAATTTAAATTTAAAAAGTAAAATTGACCAGATGTGGTGACTCATACCTGTAATCCTAACACATTAGTAGGTTGAGGTGAGTGGACCACTCAAGCCCAGGAGTTCAAGACTGACCTGGGAAACATGGTATAAGCCTGTTGCTACAAAATTTAGCCAGGCATGGTGGCACATGACTCTAGTCCCAGTTATTCAGGAGACTGAGCTGGGAGGATTCTTGATCCCAGGAAATAAGTATAGGACTTTGTCTTGGGACTGATATTTGCCTGTCTTCTCACCCCAGCACTTTGGGAGGTTGATACCAAGGGGCAAGCTTCCAGACCCACCCCAGCAACAGATGAGAAATTGGCCTCAGCAAAATGTACTCCAGTTCCAGTCAATAGTTTTATTGATCGACTAAAGTGACTTCAGGCCTGAATAAATCTGAGAAAGGCAGATCATGGCAGCTGCAGGCCTTGAGTGCTCCCAGTGTTCAACCATGGGATACAGGTGCAACCTGTACTTGAGTGCTTCCAGTGTTCAAGTCGGTACTGAGTCAGCTTTGGTGACCAAATTACTCCAGCCATCAATGTCTGGACATCAGTGTCCCTAGTGCTACCAAGGCTGAAGCTATCATAAACTTAAAGACCTCAATTTCCTTCTTGCCCTGAATTTTTGGACAGGCTTATTTCCAAAAATAGCCAAACTGTGAACATTGAATCAGGCACCTACATCACTGTGCAGACATCAATGCATAGTCACAAAGATCAGGATTTTATCAGAGATACATGATGACACCAAGTGGTCAAAATCAGGTCTCAGTGGTGACTGACACAAAAGATATATGACTTGACAAAAAATTCAAAATAGTTATTTTAAGACAATGTTGTGGACTTCAGGAAAACACAAATGATTCAGACATTTATCAGAGAAATTTGACAGAGAGATAATATAATGCGAGAAAAATACTAACAAAAATCTTGAAGATAAAACCACAACAAAATTAAAATGCAGTTGAGAGCACTGACAGCAGAAGTAGTCAAGCAGAAAAACTCAAGGACAGGTTCATTGAAATATACAGTCAGAGGAAAAAAAGAAATAAAGAAACTTCATAAGACTTAGGGGATAATATCCAAAGAGCGAATGTGTTAGTCACTGGTGTTCAAGAAGTATGGAAAAGCTGGGCGAGGTGGCTCATGTCTGTAATTGCAGCACTCTGGGAGGATAAGGCAGGTGGATCAAATGTGATCAGGAGTTTTAGACAAGCCTGCCCAACGTGGTGAAATATAAAAGTCTCTACTAAAAATATAAAAGTTACCTGGGTGTGGTGGTGTACACCTGTAATACCAGCTACCTAGGAGGCTCAGGAAGGAGAAGCACTGGAATCCAGCACACAGAGGTGGCAGTGAGCCAAGATCATGTCATTACACTCCAGCCTGGGCAACAAGAGCAAAACTCTATCTCAAAAAAAAAAAAAAAAGTGTATGTAGAAAAAAATGTAGAAAGCTTATTTAGAAAAATAATAACAGAAAACTTTCCAAGCCTAAATATAAAAATAAATATGCAGGTAGAGGAATGTCAAATGCTTCCAATCAGATTCAATCCAAATAAGAATATCCCCATACTTAATATAATCAAACCACTAAATATTAAAGACACAAAGATGATACAGAATTAAGAGGAAAAAAAATACCAGAAATACACCTATATAATTAATATATACATAAATATAATGTAAATATTAATACATCCAAATGGAGAGAAAAACTGCAAGATGCTAATAGAAAACTTCAGGACCTTACTTTCAACAATGAATAGATTATGTACATAGAAAATCAATAAGTAAACACTGAACTAAAATTCGCTGCAGGGCAAATGAACGAAACAGTTACAGAACTAACTATCCAAGAACTATAGAATACACATTCTTCTCTACTAAATACATAGAAGATTTTCTAGTATCTATCACACATTAATTAAAAAATACAATCAAGTTGAAGAGATCAAATTCATATTAAGGATTTCTTCTGAAATCACTAATTCAAAAGTACATGAAAATTAAACAACATAATTCTAAGTCAATGAAAACATTAAAGAGAAAACATAATATTTAAAATAGCATATTAAATACAAAACTTGATGTTTCAATCAAGGAAATAGGAAAACAAAAAGCTAAAATCAAAAGTTAAAAAAAAAATATCCCTACAAAATATAATCAGAGACAAAAAAGGAGATATCTTACCTGGTACCCAGAAACAAATTCATGGTAAAAAATCAAATCAGCAATGAAAAGTCACCTTTTAAAGAACAGCCCAGGAACCCAATGGATTCACTCTGCATTCTACCTACCCCTGAAATAGAACTCCTGCCAATTCTCTTTAATCTAGCAAAAAAAAAAAAAGAAGAAGAAGAAGAAAGAAGAAAGAAAGGAAGAAGAAAGAAAGAAAAAAGAAGAAGAAGATATGTGAACTGTTTCATTCCATGGGGCGGGTCATACTGATCTCAAAAACAGACAAGGACAGAACAAAAAAGACAAAAAAACCACAGGCCAATATTCCTGAATAACATAATGTAAAAATCCTCATCAAAATACTGTGAAACTGACTTACAATGCACAGTTAGAATCCTTCACCAAGATCAAGAGACATGACAGGAATGCAGGAATGGTTTAATACACAAGAATCATTAAATGTCATACATTACATGAACAAAATAAAAGAAAAAATCTAGGCGGTCATTTCAATAAGTAAAAAATGCATTTGTCAACATAACAAATAACATAGACAAGAATAACCAAATAATTCAATACATGAAAAAACCCACAGCTAACATCACACTCAATGAGAGTTAAAAGTAGAAGAGTTTTCTGCAAAGATCTGAAAGAACACCAGGATATTCACTTTAATTGGTTAAATATAATACTGGAAGTTTTTGTTTGTTTGTTTGTTTGTTTTTTTAATAAAAGTAACACTGGAAGTTTTTAGCAAGAGCAATTAGACAAGAGAAATTTAAAAATAGGTATCCAAATTAGAAAGACGTAAAATTATCCATATTTATTAATGATATAATGTGGAAATTCCTAAAAATACCTCTGAAAAGCAGGTAGAACTAATTCAGAAAATCAGTAAAGTTTCAGTTAACAAAATCAATATACAAAATTAAGTAGCATTTCATACATGAATAGCAAAATATCTATTAAAAAGGAAACTCAAGGAAACAATCCAATTTACAGTAGCTTTGGGAAAAAATAAAACAACCTTAAAAGTAAATTTAACCAAAGACGTATAAAAAATGCATTCTGAAAACTAGGAAACATTAGCAAAAAATTAAAATAACATAAATAAATTGAAAGTTATCTATGTTCATCGATTGGAAAAAGTACTATGATTTAAATGTTTATATGACCCCAAAAGGTCTGCAGATTCAATGCAATCTCTATTAAAACACTAATGACATTTTTCACAGAAATAAAAAAAAATCCTAAATTAAGAATAAAGCGCACACACACAAAAAAACCCTGAATACCCAAAGCAATATGACAGTGGGGTTGGAGAGTGAATCCTCAAAGCTACAGGCATCACAATGCTATAAACTAATACAACAGAACACACTGAGCAAAAATAAATCCACACATATATAGCTAGCTGATATTCTACAGAGGTGACAAGAACACAAAATGAGAAAAGGTCAGTCTCTTCAATAAGTGGTGCTGCTGAAACAAAAGAGCTACATGCAGAAAAACAAAATTAGAACCTATCTCTAACCACATAGAAAAATTTACTCAAATGGATTAAAAAGCCTATATGGTGGTGTCACCTACAGTTCTACCTACTTGGGGGATCACCTGAGTCTGAAAGTTCAACGCTGCAGAATGTCACACTCATGCCACTGCACTCTGGCCTAGGCTATGTAATGAGACCTCATCTGTAAAAGTACATTTTAATAAGCAATTAAAATAAAGAT